CATCATTAAGGGGCTGGATGTGATTAGAGGCTTTGGAGAGAACTCTAAGATCTAGATCCATAGGGTGGCATGTTTAGTGGCATAGACAGTAAATATTTGAAAGTTTTACAGTCTTTGGATTTCAATCCAATTTCTAGGGTTAGAGATATCAGATTGAACTCAAATTTCAAGGGTTGCCTCTTGAGACATGTCCTATCAATATGAATTGACAGACTTTGAATTTGAGGCCATTTGATTGGTTTGAAGAGTTTGAAAAATCACTAGAAAAGGCTTTCAAGACCTAGGCCTTTAGACTTTAGAATTGGGCCTAAAATGTAGATTTGCTCTTTATTTTGGATTCGAATGATTGGAATTAATTTATCAAAAACATTTATGATCATTTACGTGACCATAAATAATTGGACATGGTTAAAAATAGATCAGAGACAGGATCAAGGTTTAGACTTGAGTTGTGATCATGATAGGTTTGAAGTCTGGGTAGGTTTGAAGTTTGGACTTGATTGAAATTTAAATTGAATTGAGATTTGGATTGACTTGAGTTAAAGATTGATTTGGAGTATTTACTTCGAAATAGAGATGAGACCGAATCAAAATTCATGAAATATAAGGCTGAAGTAAAAAATAAACTAGAAAGAAAAATAAAGAGGCTTAGAATAGATATAGGAGAAGAATATGACACAATAATTCTTAGTTCCTTTTATGAAGCTGTGGTATTATTCATGAGGTTACTCCAGCTTATTTACTGGAATCTAATGATATAGCTAAATGTAAAAATAGAACCTAAAAGAAATGATGAATGGTATGCTCATTTGTTCAGGTGCTCTTAATTATATAAGGGATGAAGCTATTTTATCAGCCAATCTTTAACAAAATAGAATTATTTTTAAAACTCTAAAAAGACACCCTTTGAATTTTGGGAGAATAAAATACCCAATTTAAAATATTTAAAATTATGGGGTGTCTTTCTAAGGCTCTTCTAGCATATCCTAAGAAAAGAAAATTGGGTTCAAGAATATATGATTGTCTTTTTATAGGATATACAGAAAATAGTATGTTATATATATATATATATATATATATATATATA